GAATGATAATTACCACGTACAGCACCACTAGCACAAGGAATTGAGGTGGCCAGTCTGCTGTTTGGCCCCCAAATCCACCAGAGGCCATGCTGCAGACAACTATGGGCAACAGCTCAGGCCTGGTTGCCAAGTTGCCTTGGGACTCTGTTCCAGAACTTGCTAAAGGAGGCATACTTACCCATTCATCAACTAGCCAGAGAAAAGGGGATTGCAGTCCACAAGTCCCTCTTGCCTCCCTCCTCAAATCAGGCCATAATGCCTATGGAGGCTCTGAACCAGACCCTGCACCCACTGAAGGGAATTAGGAAATCACAGCCTCCGAAACCCCCAGCCCAACACCTTGGGGTTGGGTTGGGGAAAGGGTAAGAATTGCTTTAAATTTATATATCCGTTAGGGGAAATTAGCATCTTCATTATATTGGGTCTTTCAATCCATGTATATGGTATGTCTCTTCATTTGTTAATATTTATTTCCATCAGTGTTTTGTGATTTCATTATACAAGTCTCAGATATATTTTGCTATATTCATATTGAAGTTTTTTGTTTGGTTTCACAATTTTAAATAATATTTTTAATTTTGACACCCATGCATTTATTGATAGGATATGTAAATAGACTGGGGACCAGCTGAATTCCACATGGCTGCCTGCCCAGTTTGACTCCCTGTGACTTGGGAAACATGCCAGGCACATATGCATGTGTGCCCAGAATCCAAGAAGATAATAGATTGTAATATAACCATCTTTCCTGTAGTGTGCTTTCTCTTTTCTTTCTCTCTGTCTCTCTGGTAAGCACATATTCCCTATAGCAAAACAAAAAAAGACAGTGAAGATATTGTGTAGAATTCATGTTAATTCTTTTCACTTTTAATAGAATTCTCCAATGAAAGTAAATGGACCTGGAGATATTTCTTTTGAGAGTTTTTAAATTATGAATTCATTTTCTTAATTGTTACAGAATATTCACATAACGTATTTCATTTGGGTGAGTCATGGCAATTTGTTCATTATCTAAGTTGTTAGACTGTACGTGTATAAAATTGTAGTAATTTCTTACTAGCTTTTTGGCACAGAAATCCTTTGTGTCATCGTTGATATTTATAATTTTTATCTTTGTCAGTCAGTCAACTCACTGATCATTTCAAAGAACTGACTGTTGCATTGCCTTTTCTCTGCTGTTTTTTTGTTTTGTTTTGTTTTCAATTTCATTGGCTTCTGCTCTTTATTTTTTGTTTTCTTGTACTTGCTTTAATTTATTTTGCTGTACTCTCATCTGGATTTTTTTTCTTTTTCTTTTTCTTTTTGTTCTTTTTTTGAGAGAGAGAGGTTTTTGCTATAGGGCGCATGCGCTTGCTGGAAAGACAGAGAGAGACAGAGAGACAGAAAGTGAGAAATCATCCCCAAGGGGGAATGGCTATGCCGCAATCCCTTCTCCTCTCGGGATCTTGGGCATGCATGCAAACGCGCCCGGTGTGAGTTTAAGCCACCACCGGATCCAGGACTGAAACCACAGTTGGCTACATGGGAGTCCAGCAACATAGCCATTATGCTAACTGTTGGTCCCTCTCATCTAGATGTTTGAAGTGAGAGCTTAGTTCTTATCTTTTTTTAACAAATCATGCTGATTGATGGTGTTGTGTTCTACATCCTTGCTAATATTCTCTTTAGTTCTCTCAAATGTTGAGAAAATGATGTTTAAGTCCCCCAATTTAATTATGGATTTGTCTGTTGTTCTTTTCAGTTAATGAGTTTCTGCTTCGTGTATTTTGAATCTATATTGTTTGATGCCTATTTATTATTGCTATGTCTTCTGGTGGACTGACCTTTTTATCATTATGTAATACCCTTCTCTGTATCTATAAATTTCTATGCTCTGAAACCTATTTTATCTGATAGTAATACACCTCCCCTATTATCTTCTTATTAATGATTACATAATGTATTCTCCCCATTCTTTTCCTTTTATTCTCTTTATAGCTCTATATTTCACTTTTATTTATTATGGAAAGCATATAGATGGGTTTTTTTTTTCAAGAGATTTTTACTGTAGGGCATGAATGCTTACCAGATAGACAGAGAGAGATAGACAGAAAGCGAGAAATCACCCTCCATGGGGGATGGTCATGCTGCAATCCCTTCTCCTCCATTCTCCTCTCGGGATTTTGGGCATGCATACACATGCACCTCATGTGAGTTTCAAGCTGCCAGATCTGGAACACAAACCACAGTCAACTATTTGGGAGGCCAGCAATGTAATCTGCTAGTTTCCAATGGATTACATTTTTTTTAACCTGTTTAGGCAGTCTGTATTTTTTATTTGGCTTATTTAGGTCATTTACACGTAATGTAGTTATCGATAGGTTAGGTCTTCAGTATACCTTTTTGCCCTTTGCTTTCTCTTTGTTCTCCCTGTGTTTTCATTTTCCTGACTTCATAAGGATTATGTAAATTTTTTTAGAATTTTGTTTTAGTTTTTTTATAATATTTTTGTGTACTCTCTCTCTTCATAGCTATTTTAGTGGTTGCTCTGGGCATTACATTATATGTACATAATCTATCACAGTCTATTGGGTCAACATTTTACCAGTTTGTGTTAAGTACATAAACCTTACCTCCCTTTATATCCTTTCACTCTCCCTGATTTTGTGTGTGTGTGTGGGGGGGGGGAGAGATTTTTGCTCTAGGGTGCATGCACTCACTGGAGAGAGACAAAGAGACAGAAAGCGAGAAATCACCCCCCAGAAAGGATAGCTATGTCACAATCCCTTCTCCTCCATTCTCCTCTCGGGATTTTGGGCACGCATGCACACACATCCAATGTGAATTTCAAACCACTGGGTCCGGGTCTACTGTATGGGAGTCCAGTGAGGTAACCATCACACCATCTGCTGGTTCCTTACTCTCCCTATTTATAATATGGTTTTCTTTAATACTTTCTCTGCATACACATAGAGCCACATAAGACAGTGTAATAATTTTTGCTCCAACCTCCATATATTATTTTCAAAACTCATGAGGCATAGGACAGCCTATTGTATTTACCAATATTATTTTACGTCTATCTTTCCATTTATATTTCTTCTTTCCCACAGGTTCTGAGGCTCTGTTCTTCCCCCTCTTCCCCAGTCTGCTTTTCCTTTTATGTTTATGTTGGATAATTTCTATTATTTTTATCTTCAAGTTTATTGATTATTTTGTCTTCTCCATTCTGCTATTGAAACTATCCACTGAATTGTTTTTACGTATTTTTTTAAATTCTGAAACTTAACTGTTTGTGAAACATTCTATTTCTTTGCCAAGATTATTTTTTTCATTTATCTCAAGGGCATTCATATCATTTTTATAAAGGTTGCTTTAGAGCCTCTTTCAGATAATTCTAACATTTGTGCACTGGTTATCTATTGTCCTTTCATCGTTTATCATTCATGTTGAAATTTTTTCCTGTTCACAGTATAAGTGATTTTTAAATAGGAACCTAGACACTTCTAAATGTTATGAGACCTTGAATGTTACTTAAACCTGTTTTAGGTGACTTTATCTAACATTGCTGTGGTAAGAGAAGGCTGAGATGCAGATGGGGAGTTTATTACTGCCAGGTAGAGGTAGAGGTTCAGGTCTCCACTCCACACCTGAGAGGAGGAGGAAGGCGTATAATTCCAATCCTCTACTAGGCCTCAGCTGGTACCACTCAAGGGACAGGATGTCTATCTAGTCCCTTCTCCCTTCCTGGCTTCCACTGATCGCACTGGAGAGTGGGAGGGTAGAGGGTAGTGGTGAAAGCCCTAACTCTCCTGTAGGCTTCCTCTGGCACCACCCCAGAGGACTTGGGAGGGGCGCTGGTTACTACCGTGGAGTGGAGGTGTGAGGATGTGCTCATTACAAGCCCCAACTCCCAGCACCACTTGTTCTCACACCACCCCTATTTCAGGGATGAGGTTGGAGGTCCTGGCTCTCCTTTCAACCTTTGCTGGCATGCATAGGTTGACTTCATAAGGATTATGTAAATATTTTTGGAATTTTGTTTTAGTTTATAATATTTTTGTGTATTCTCTCTCTTCATAGCTATTTTAGTGGTTGCTCTGGGCATTACATTATATGTACATAATCTATCACAGTCTATTGGGTCAACATGGTTTTTCTGTGGTGTTTACCTGCAGTAGAGCAGTTATTATCTGAAAGTTTCTGCCTCACTAAGCTGCCCTTTCCCATGTCCTCAAGTGGGCTTTTGTGGGGACTAATTTGTCTATACTGACTGTTTCTAGGGTGCTGGTGCCTTTTAGTTCCAGGTCTGAGATAAGAGTCAGAAAGAAAACCCAGGGACTTTCACTGTGTCATTCCTGAGGTCTCTAGGTCCTGGCTGATCTGCCTTCTTGTCTCCACCCTGCAGTGTGGACTTGAGTCTATGTTACACTCGATGCCAGGTACTTTAGTTGTACTTAAAGAGAGCAGTAAGAAAGAACATGCCTCCTTCATCCTCCCAAAACAGAAGTCATAATTTTCTTGACATTAAAGAGTACTCCTTGTTTTGTGGAATGGGCATCAGATGAAGATGTTTTCTCATAGCAGAGGGCTAAGAGGAACATTTTGTCTGCTATAGTCCCGGACCTCTTGTCTACTTAAATGTGAGGCATTCAGTGACCATAGTCAGTTTGATCGCAAGGGTAGAAATAACATTTAATTCACTGGACACTTCTTATAGCCTCTGCTCATCTCTGTATTTGTCCCTGAGGGCCCTTCAGGCTTTTGTCTTCCAGATGGGGAAAACCTGAGGGAGCTCAAGCTCAGGACTCAGATGCTTGTTCCATCCCCTCCTGATACAGGACTTTCACCAGAAAAGGGAAGTCAGATCCACAGACAATCATGCTTTGGCTGTCCCTCCACAGGCTCGTGGGCCTAACTTGTCTCTCACAGCAAATCATTGCTGTGCATTCCTGATTTAGCAAGAATGTGAGGAGCATCTGACATGCAAATAAACTGTTGAATTTCTTCCTCCTTTCTAGGCAAAAACTCATTATTCCAAATAGAAGTTGCCCTGTTATTCTGAACACCTACTTTTGTCAGAAAGTTGTGGCCAAAGAAGATTCAGAAACAACTCATAAAGCACACTGTCTGGACATAGTCCTGCCGAGAAGAAGCATCAGTTTGGCCCAGATTTTTACAATTAAGGGTCTAACAAATAATTCATCTAAAAACCAGGTGAAGTCTTTTTGGGTTTGAAGCATTGTATGTGATAATGTTGGTGACTGGATTTCAAAGGGCTTTGGCAGCACAAGTGAAAGTGTTCACCCTTCCTTTCCACAGGGGCACAAACGTGTATGCTGACCAGCTCATAGTGTGGCTGAAAGAATTACTGTTTACTTTAGTTGTGGTCATTCTATCATATTTCATCTTTCAAAATGAGTATTGTTTGTCCCTATTTTAGTACGTTAAAGTACATGAAAATTTGTGTTTCCTGTTCTAATTGTATAATTGTCTAAGAATTTTATTTTATTATCTAGGAATTTTACACTCTCCCTTATATATTAAAGAGAAAGCTTCAGGGTCAGCAGGTGACATGATGGTTGAGGTGCTGGACTCCCACATGACTGACCACAGTTCGAATCCTGGACATGCTATCTTACTTTCTCACTTTCTCTCTCTGTGAGTGCACATGCCCTGCAGCAAATTTAAAAACTAATAATGATACGATCATTACATCACTGAACTCCCATGTAATCAACCACAGTTCTAGTCCTTTCCCTGACAGCTTAAAATTCACACCAGGCACATGTGCATGTGTCCCCAAGATGCAGAGAGGAGACTGGAGAAAGAGATTGTGACCTGGCCATCTCCCCAGGGGGTGATTTCTTGGTGTCTCTCTCTGTCTCTCTGGCAAGTGTACATGCTCTATAGCAAAAATCTCTAAAAATAATATGATGATGATAAATAATTCTTTTTAAAAAGCTTATTTTCCACAATATCCTTATCACTTGGATTAAAAAGGAAAAAAGCTAAATAAGCTTGAGGTTATATGCTGGAAATTGTTTTTCAGAATTATATTGGTCCTGGGACCAGCAGTTAGTGTAATGGCTATGTTGCTGGACTCCCATGTAGTCAACCACGGTTTGAGTCCTGGACTCGGTGGCTTAAACTCATGCCGGGCACGTTGCATGCATGCTCAAGATCCCGAGAGGAGAATGGAGGAGAAGGGATTGCGGTGTGGCCATCCCCCCTAGGGGGTGATTTCTCGCTTTCTGTCTCTCTGTCTCTCTCTGTCTTTCTGGCGAGCGCACGCGCCCCATAGCAAAAACCTCTCAAAAAAAGAACAAAAAAAAGATAATTATATTGGTCCTGAACCATGTTCGTCTGCCCAGATGGATTTAGGAAGCCACTAAATTAAATCACAGTGGACATGAGGTGTGTCCCTGGGCATCTGGGTATCTGTGCGGCTTCTGTGCATTGACTTCAAAGTTGCTGGGTTTCCTTGGTCATCCCTGAATGGAATGCTGAGACTGCCAGGTGGAGGGAGGGGAAATAACAGGAAAGTAGACAAATTTTCACCTATTTTGTTCCATACAATCAAGCAAAAATCTGTTTGTGACTATCAAAAAAAAAATTGTGTAGAGGGGATTGACTATATGAAAAGGAGGGTTCTCTAATCAGTTTAATTTTAGCAGATTTTAAAACATGGCTCAAAGTGCATTGTTGCTGTAGCATATAAACAACTATGTGATATTAAGGAAATGAGATGTGTTTTGTCTCAATGTGACAATGTGAGTGACAGTGAAGCTTCAGGATAGCATAGTAGTTATCAGCACAAACTTTGGAGCCACACATACTAACTCACATCCTGCCTAAGTCACTTCTTGCTGGGTGACCTAGGGCAAGGCTGACAGTCTCTTTGTCTCAGTTTTCTTATCTGTAAAATGGGGATGATATCATCTACCTCCTTGGAAGGCTGTGAGGATAAGTATTTCCAAGGCCTGGATGTAGGAGCAATTTAGAGTGATCTCCTAAGGTAAAAGCTGTTGGGAAAATATGAGTGTGAAGTGATTGGCCCAGTAGATTCATGTATATGCACTTACTAAAATGACTCATTTGTATAAATTCCAGTCCTTCTTTTTGTTTATTTGTTTAAAGACTGAGTTTCACTGTGTTGCCTCAGCTATCCTCAAATAGTCCTTCTGTCTCACCCTTCTGCATCCCTGGGATGACAGGCATATGCCACAGTCCCCAGCTTTTCATTTAATTTTTTAGTTTATCCTATTGGAATTGTTACCTTAGAAGATAAAGATTTCTTCCATTATCAAAAGGTATTTTAATAGCAGGATTTCCGAATGTCTGTGATTCTGTTGGTAGGAAACACTGTATTGTGGTCCATGCACTCTCACCTTCCTTCCCCAGCAGTGCTGGTTACCTGGCAGACACAGAGGCCCCTCCATGCTTCCCTCTGTTTTTGTCTTTATCATTCCTCCAATGAGTGCAGACACTAAGAATGCCATTATTTGACATAAAACATGCTGTCGTAAGGCAAACTGAAACTCTTCCCTTTGGTGTCTTATCCAGGGCGTGTGTAGTGGTCTGGCCACCACAGGGACAAGCTGGACCCACAGGCACAAAGAAGCGAATCAGCACCTTCCAGCTGGTGCTGCCCTGAGAGATTCTCTCCTGGACGTGGTGGAAAACCAGGGAGCTACCACATGGTCAGGAGTTGGGGTCCAAGTGGTAGTGCAGAGAGTTTACTCCCTTCTTGGCAGAGACAGTACCAGAAATCAACAAGGGAGCAGCTTGGGACACACAGACCTACCTGGAGCTCGGTGAGTGGCAATACACTGGTGTGGGTGGAGAAAGTCACTCAGACAGTTGCTCAAGAAAAGGGAAGCTCTTTCCAGAGGAGCTTCTTTGCTGTGTTACCATAAACATGGGTTATTTTATCTGTCTTTTTCATGCATCAGAATTTGGGACACATGAGACGACAGTTAATTTTATCTATTTATTTATTTATTTATATAAAAAATCCTAATGAAATTAAATGAATGTGTTGCATTTATTTTAACGGTCCATGTTACTGAAAGTAGAACAGAGACAAGACATACAGGTATTGTTCTGGAAAAGCCAGGACATGTGGTTACCATACCTAGAAAGATCTCTTTAGCATCAAGTTTCATGTCTTAAAAGCCTGGTAAGTGATGGCAGTTAGTCAGCCTGTGGCTTCCCAAAAGCTGTGTGTCACAGACCTCGTGCATCGGTGCAACCTAGCAGAACCTCTGCAGTGTGATGCTGTGTGTTGGCACTGTCCAGCACAAGAGCCCCTGGCATAGGCAGCTATGTTGAGTATGATGAAGCAATTCTTCTAGTCTGTTCTGTTGCTAACAGAAAATACCTAAAACTAGGTGATTTATAAGACCAGAGGTTTATGCAGTGCATGGTTGGGAGTGATGACCTTAATCTTAATGTCTTCCTAGGCCCTACCATTCCACACTGTAGGTAGATTAAGTTTTCATCCCATCATACCCAAATCTTAAACCACAGCAGGAACTACATTTTACAATGTATTTTTAAAATTTATTTTATTTATTTATTATTATTATTTCTTTTTATTTCTATTTCTTTTATATATTCAATCACATTATTTAACTTACAAAGTGAATATTCCAACATGTGTACATGTCTCACCAGCCCAGTTTAACTTCATTTAAGTGACCCCCTGTGGCCAGTAGCAGTTGTGATGGATTGTGCAGTTAGATGGCAGGTCCAGCAAGAGCCAAGGCCATGGTTCAAAGCACTGCACTCAGATGAGCCATGGGAGGAATACCCTCTTTTCTACTTAGCTTTAGACTGTTGTTGGTTTGGCGGAGTTTTTCCCAAATCACTATAAACATATCATTGACTGAGGAGTTTATTTATTTCAGAGCCTTGGTATAGCCTTTTGAGGTTTTCTTTCTGGAGATGTGAAACTGCCCTCCAGGCAATAAAGTGGATTTTCAGTAAAATAAAAATTTAAAATATAGATGCCACTTCATCTAATCATTCTTTGTATTTTCTCTTAAGAAAATAGCACAGACTGCAAAATCAGAAAGGAACAATGCTCCCATTCTTAGGTGTCTTCCAGTGCCATTCAAAGGGAGCAACAGGAAACACTTGGTTAATTATGAGTCATTGTAATCTGAATGACACTGTACTTAAAAAAAAAAAAAAGAAAAAAAGAAAACACACACAAACCATGAATGTCAAAGAGTCCCCTTCAGGTCTAGAGTGAGAGAATACTTCTTTTGGAATTACAGGAAAAAAATTATTTTTCTTTTGTTTGGATCATATAGTATGTTTGGACTCTATTAGATCAGCTTTAAGGTCTTTAACTTAGCTTGAAGTTGCAGGCCAGCTTGTACCCTTGGACTTAAATCTGTGGTAAACTTAAATAGAGTGATCTGGGACAGTTCTAGATTAGGCATAGATTTTTGTTTTGCACTTTCTTATTGCTTGGCTCTTTTTCTGGCACAGGCCCAGTTAGGCTTTAGAGAAGGGAATGCCAGTTAGCAGGGCAGTGAGGAACTTGGTCAGGCTCTAGCCCAGCCCCATGACCACACAGAAGCAGTAGGCACTGTCCACCCTGATGAGAAGGTACAGTGAATCTGACAGTGCAGCTGCTTCCTCATGAGCAATCACAGTGATCATGACCTAAGACTGACCCTTCTGGTCCTTCGATACTAATGCTTGTTCTACTTGTTGAGCAAAGAGAAGAAATTGGAAGCTAAAGTCTGGTGAATTTCTGCCTGTCGTCAGCACCTTTGAATGCTTTGGATTTATGCCTTGGAACTGTGGCATATTCCAAGAGGAAACACTGGTGGTAGATTCAAAGGAGGCTAGGCACAAACTTGAGAAACAAGAAAACAATACTTCTTTACTCAGATGTAATGAATATGCATTCTGATGTTTATTTCTTATTGTAGCACACATGCAGTTGTACAATATGAGGAAAGATGATACCCATTTTGCAGATGAGTAAACTGAGCTTCAGTTTGCTGATAACTGTACGGATGGGCAAAAAGAAATAGATAATGGACTAAAGAATCCCAAAATGCTAGGGCTGTAGAGAGGGTTGATGTCCAAAGAAAAGGGAGGAAAATGAGTTGAAACAGACTGTGGATGAAGGTAACCCAGGACACAGAAGCAGCACTGGAGCTGTGCTCTAGGGAGGCTGTGTGGGCTGTGTGAAAAATTAATTTCTGAACCAGAGCTGCAATGTTTAGCCTTGGGTTTGAGGACAGGACTGCCGAGATGTCTTTGAGGACAAGAAGATCTGATCATGAAGGTCTAGCCCATTTGCTGTGATAAAGGCCAAACTCTCCAGTTTATAAATCAAATTAATATAGATATAAAATTGTACCTTACCCTCTACAAATTATTTGCTAATTATTTCTCCCAGAGAAAGCAAATGTTTTACTGTATCTGCCTTGGAGACTATACTCATTAATATGGAGTTTTAAGCATGTGCATTATAGCACATATATGAGAGAGAACGTCATGAGAGAGAAAGGATTTCTTCCCTTCCTGCTTGTTGTTTCCACCTTCAGTTTCTTCAGTTTCCTGTCATAGATAACCTGTATTGTTCACCTTGTGCAGACTCTCCCTGCAGCAGCCACAGGAGGAGGAATTCTGCCTGAGCAGTGACCCCCTACTGCAGGGAGCTCTGAAGCAGACCTCTCTGGTACAGAGCAGCTTTGCTCCAACACTTGCCATAGTGTGTTTTACCCCAAAGATCTTTCTGTCAGTGGTCTTAAAGACAACCTTAATCGGTATGTGTTTTCTATAAAGTGCTGGAAATTACCAAATGAAAAAAAAAATTAAGTCTTGTGGAAAAAGACTACTGTGCCTCATGGTAGACTATTCTGCCCCAGTAACCCCCCACTTCCCACCCAGAGCAAGTTGGGTTAAGTCTCCATGAAAGCCTCAGCAAGTTTCTCTCTGACTTTACTTAGCACGTGGGTCATAAACTGTTCCCAGTTCCCTGGCAGTATTCCTGTTCCGAGGTCAGTGAGAGATTATCTTCTGATGGCAAACAGCCCAGTGGGGACAACTTTGAAATTAGAGGAAATTTATTTGAAGCCAACCAGTCCCGTTCAGGTCACATAGGTTCATCAGAAAGCTTATATCCTCTGAGCTGTGAAACATTATTAGGAAGGTACTTTACATTTTGGGACCAACTGTTAGTGTAATGGCTATGTCGCTGGACCCCCATGTAGTCGACCGCGGTTCGCGTCCCAGACCCAGTGGCTTAAAACTCATGCCGGGTGCGTGTGCATGCATGCCCAAGATCCCAAGAGGAGAATGGAGGAGAAGGGATTGCAGCATGGCCATCCTCCCTGGGGGGTGATTTCTCGCTTTCTGTCTCTCTGTCTCTCTCTGTCTGTCTGGCGAGCGCATGCTCGCCCTATAGCAAAAACCTCTCCAAAAAAGAAAAAAGAAATGTACTTTACATTTCAGAAATATAGTATGTATAAGTCTCACGCCTATTCTTTCAGAAGACTCCCTTTAACTCAAGCTATAAATGAAAACATTTCCATGAGACTTTTCACAGAGTAACCAACAAAAGTTTTATAAATCACTAAAATCAAAAGTAACAAAATACCCATGCAGCAAACAGCTTTTTCTAGATCCATTGCATGTTGAGTGATTATTAAGTAAACACATGACTAATAAAATCATAGCTTTTTGTAGCAGAAAGGAAGCACTGGTCTTGGAGGTAATTTATACCAGAAACTGAGGCAGAGAGCAAGCCAGTGACTCCCTCTGGGCTCCTGACACCCTGGTGGAGCAGGTCTAGACCATGCCACCTCACTCCCAGCCCAGGGAATTTCCATTAGACATCCATCCTTTCTCTCTTCTTTTCTCCTTGAGATATTTAATTTAGGGACCAGTAATATAATTATATACCTTAAAGAGGTACATTTCTTGTCTGTCATTGCAAAAGTATTTAAAATAAGTTGGTCTCTTATGAGAGTATTTAATTTGCAGAACTTTCTAACTAGTTTTGTCTTCAGATAATAAGCTGAAAGATAGAACTTTCCAGTTTAGGGATCAACAGATGGAGAAATGGTTACGTCACTGGACTCCCACGTAATTGACCCCTGTTTGAGTCCTGGCCCTAGTGGTTTAAAACTCACGCCAGACTCATTTGTGTGCATGCCCAAGATCCTAAAAGGAGAATGGAGAAGGGGTCGCAGCGTGGCCATCACCCCTGGAGGGTGATTTCTCGCTTTCTGTCTCTTTCTGTCTCTCTAGCAAGTGCATATATCCTATAGCAAAAGTCTTTCTTACAAAAAAAAGAACTTTCCAGTTTAACAGCTTCATAGGTTCCTGCATTATAGTTTTATGGAAGTTCATTGAGCTGAACTCAGTAGGAAAAGCACTTTTTTCTTTTTTCATATCTTGATGTTTTATTTTCACTTTTTTGCCTTTAGTTTCTCTATAAAACTCAAGTTTTTAGATTACTAAAATCAAAGGTAACAAAATATCAAAATAGAAAACCCTCCTTAACCACTATGTTTTTAAAATTTTCAATCTCCTCACTAAGAAAAAATAAAATCCATCACATTTCACACCAGGTCTGGGGGCTGCAGTGGTCAATGAAACCAGCCATGACTGGTGCCCATGAAGCACAGTCTAGTGGGAGCTCCATGCAGAATACTGAAACAAAAGCATTACTAATGCAAGTTGTGATGGGTGGTCTGATAAGAAAAAAGTAGAGCACAATGGAAAAGAGACAGAATTTAGAGAATTCAAGGGTAGCTGTTCTAAGGCAGAACTAGTTAAGTTG